GGGGACATCAGTACTTAGATTAGTTATTATTATAAATGAAGATGAGATGCTGCTTCAGTGAGTCTGTGTCAGTTATCACACGTAGCAACGGGAGGACGCTGCATCAGGCGACCTGCTCACCGATGATGATGATGATGATGATGATGATGCAGACAGTTCATGCCGTTGGACTGAATCAGAGCAGGCTGATCACCAGCATCGTATTTGGGCGAATATCTGGAGCATTGCTAGATTTTTACCTTTTGCTTCTCACGTCAACAGAAAGGCAAGTTTGCCGTCTCATTCTCGTAATAGTAGTAGTTCTTTTTTTCCCCTTTGTAGCCAAAACACTCGCTCCCTGTCTTTCACGACTGCAAAATATCTCACACCAAATGCGTCACCTTTTAAAAAAAAAAATAAAAAAATGTATTTATATTGATTTCACATTATGTGGAATTTAAGTACAGAATCTCTGGATTCGCCAATAAAAAGACAGAACTATGACGTGTTTTTCTTCTTTCTGCAGTCATTGCAGCTGTCGCCTGTTAGACACGTTTATAAAGTCCAAGACAGCTTGAAGTTTGAAGGCTGTTTATTAATTATACCAGAAAAATAATGTCAAGGTTTTTTATTTTGTTGACATGATATTCCACCAACAACGAATCAGTCGACGAGTTGCTTGTTTTTGAATTGAGCCGCGGCCGAATGAAGGCAACCCCCTGAAATCATAAAAACAAAACTCAACTGTAAAAAGAATCAAATGTATTTTTCTGTTGTTTCCCTTGTTTCTGTCTCTTTTTATCTTTTTTTTTTTTTCCTCTAATGTTCTGAAGTCTTCGCTGCTCGCTCTGCGGCTGCAACACACAGTGAAGCTCGGCCGGTCGGCAGCTCTGTCTCACTTTAGACCAGCGGTTCCCAAACTCTTAACCACAGATACACACCAGTAAAACCTCACAGCTGTGCCGTCTGTCTTACTTCGTCTCTTAACCTCTGGCAAATTGATTATATATACAGTATATTATATATCTTCTTCTTCTCCCCCTCTGGAAACTTCCCATGTTCCCTGAGGGGGCCCAGCACCTCGGTTTGGGAACCACTGCTCTAGACCACATGCGGCCTGTCGCTGTTGTTGCTGTAACTCTGAATCAAAAATAATTGTACTATGATGTTTGAAGGCTGGTTTCCAATAAAGATCTTAACTCTCGGCCAAGCTGGCAAAAGTGTTTTTTAGCTGCCTGACGCTCATCAGGAGCTCGTCTAAAAGAGCTGCAGCTCGACTCGGGCCCTGCACAGCTCCAGGCTGAGAACGTCCAGGGCCCCTGGGTGTTTGGTGACACGACACCAGACCTCTTACCAACAGAAGAGATAAAAACCTGAGTGAGAGTAAGAGCGGCTGGTTCCTGAGATTCAAATAAGCATCAGCTATAAAAGGCTTTTCTCCGATAATTTAATGTCGACTATGATTGATACAGTTTTCTCTCTGCTTTTCAGACCCTCTCTGTAATTCACATGTTATGGACTCTTCTGTTTGATCATTTTTCTTATTTCAATATATCCTCCTGAAATGTCCTGCAAATGACAGAGCTCCCAGCAGGTCTGCTCGCTGTGAACAACCCGTCCCAGGATACAGAATCCCTGTGTGTAGCTCAGTATTGGTTTGTTTCCACTACAGTTTGTATCGTAGTTATTTATAGAGCAGCCGTAGGTCATGACTCAGTGGACCGACATGAGTGTGAGCGACTGAAAACAGCACTGACCCGTATTACAGACAGAGAGAGAGCGAGAGAGCAATCACCATCCTCACAAACATTCACTTGGACTCAGAGATGACCTCATAAAGCTGAGCTTCTTCAAATCGTAACAAACTCGACCATCACTGACAATAATTCCTCAAACCTTCCATCATGCTGCAAACTGTTTATTCTGACCAAAGCTGGAACAACTTATTTGGGGTTTCTCTGTGTTCTTTATTAAAATCTGATTGATTGGTGGTTTGCTGATTTAAAGCCGTTTCTCTGGGGGGTTTGGAAGACGAGCACCTGTGCAGCTGGATTTCACTTCACGGACAGATTAATCGTCCGAGAACGCGATGTGCTATGAAATGGTTCAGGTCGGAAATGATCCTGCTTTGCTTTGCTGCAAATTCCTCCGAGCTGGAGACGAGCAGCAGAGCATCGTCATGTTTGGACTGAAGTTCTAACATCGCTGTCTTCAGGTCTTCCTTCTCTTTGGCGTCTTTCTCCCTCAGAGACTCGAGTCGGCTCAGATCAGCTCTGACCAACTCGTCCTGCTCCTCACGATCACGCAGGACTTCCACCAACTGTTGGACTTCTACCCTTTCTCTGTCCATCAGAGATTTCACATGGGTCAGCTCCCGTGTCTTCTCATCTCTGTCCCTGAGGACGTCCTCAGCATCGTCTAGTTGGAGCTTCAGAGTCCTCACCTCTTCTCTCAATCTGTGAATCTCACCCTCGTGTTTCTCTCTCAGACCTTCAAGGTGTCTCATCTCATTGGTCAGGGACTTAATGTCCTGGTATAGATTTGTCTCATTCACTCTCAGAGTATAAATGTCTCCTAACAGGTGTTCGTTCTCTGCCCTCTCACACTGCAGGAGTCTGTCCTTTTCATTCTGATACACCAGAGACGTCTCCCTCTCTCGCAGATCCTGAACTGGGGCCAACTGTTCGTTGTTCTCGTCCTCAGTGGGGATGTTGATCTCCACGGTTCGCTGACAGAGAGCTACTTGCTCGGTTTGCTTGGTTATCAGCTCATCTTTATTCAGGATGGAGACCTGAGCTCCGTCCAGCTGGACCTCCAGGTCACAGACTGACTTCTCCGGCATGTAAATCCTCCTCCGCAGGTCCGAACCTCCCGTGTATCTACGTTGAGCCATAGCTCAATATAGTTGTGTTTGTTGTTATCTGTTCTTCACCTGATCTCGGACACTTCAACGTGTCTTCTCCTCGGTTGGTGCGTTGCCCGTTAAGATGCATTGATCTGCTTTGATCTTGTATTCCGTCCTCCCCTTTGATCTCGACTCAATCAAAGGACAGAAGCTCTGATGACCAATGACGTCATATGAAACTCATGCCTGTGCGTGATGCGTGCCCGTGAATCGGCGATCGTGAGCAGCTGCTGGAGCGCGCACCAGTGCACGTGCACGTGCACCTGCAGCATTTGAATTGTGGAGGTTTTGAAATAGTGGATCTTTCAAAATAAAACGCAGTTTTGGAAACGGAGCTGTGATCTGCTCCCCTCCCTCCATCTGTCTCTCCCTCCCTCCATCCATCTGTCTCCCCTCCCTCCATCTGCCTGTCTCCCGTCCTCCGTCTGTCTCTCCTCCCTCCTCCCTCACTGCCTCCTCCCGAGTCATCGTGCCCGAGCAGCCGCTCTCCTCTCGACGGACTCTGGCTCCGGTTGGTGAAACCGACGACGACCGTGAAAATGACCCGAGTGTCTCCGAGTGGCTGCGCGGACATGACAGGTGAGGACAACGCGTCGCACGGTTCCCTGCAGGTGTGATTGATTGACACACGGAAGGTAACGCCTCATTCTGACGCTTTTATATTTCATCTGTTCAGAAATCTGCTCTGTGTATGACGTCACTGCAGGAGATGTAACACACACCAGAACATAGGGATCCAGTGACGTCATTTATAGGACACAACACATTCTTCTTATTATTTAAAAAATCCATCTTCCTCTTTTTCATGATGTTCACGTGTCCCAGTTTCTCCCTGTGCACTGACTGACAGGCTGATGGTTCCTCATGAATTCAGCAGCTCACTCCCACCACCACCGTCCTGTGTCTCACTCCTCCACTGCATTGGGGGAGGAAAAGCCTCTGAGACCTGTGATTCAGCTCATTCTTTTGGTTGTGATGTGATTCTGAGTGAGGATGAGGCGAAGCTGGACCCCGGAGACTCACCTGGGGTTTGCTTGTATTTGCATATGTGACGGCTGCATGTGTGTGAGTGTGTTTGTGGGCAGAGGATGCAGGCGAGTCCATGGATGTTCTCAGGCTGCTTGCATGTCGTCTTCATAGATACACAAATAAGAAATTGGCTGAGGGTTACGCTTGGTTGTCCCACACCGACACCTGACCTGAAGGCACCACACTGACAAGCAGGTGGATGTATTTGGACGAATGTTGATCACAGAAGCAGGAGTCACGTTCACAGCTGAAGGTTTTTATCTGTATTAACACGTCTGTCAGTGCTGCATGAATCATGTCTGACTCCTCTCTCCATCAACACAGCGCTGGCCCCTCCTCCTACGCTGCTGCTCACCAATAGGCATGTTTCACCTGCCCGATCGCCATCCAATCACAGCGTCCCTCCAGGTAAACTTCTGAGCATCACTCGATTGTCATCATGGCGTCATAGTCCAGAATATAAGGCAGGATGTGAAATCACCTCTGTTGTCTCAGTGCTTTACATAAAAAAGATATTTCAGTTGAAAGCATCTGTTCTGGTCCAGTGTTAGAAATGTGGAATCCTCTCAGAGTCATCCTGCTGACAGACAAACAGACAAATGTACACTGGTGAAAACACGACGTCCTCCGCCGAGGTTGTAATGACACGTTTAAAACCACACAAACCAAATCAGCTTCGAATTAGAAACATGTTCAGTGTTACAACCTTCAGGGGCCTCAAGTCATTCCTGCGTTTCTCTTTCACCTGTCTGAAGACGCCCGGCTGCATTTAGCCAAAGAGCGACGGGAGGACAGACAGAAGACACAAGGTGAGTAACACTGTCCTGTTCGTCTGTCTCACACACACACACACACACACACACACACACACACACACACACACACAGTGGGTACAGATTCAGTATTAACATGAATAAAGTGCAGATGATGTGGTTTGAGCTTCTGATTGAGGCAGTTGATATAAATGAGTGGACTTGACTTTAACTGGGTTTAACATGTGACAAGCAGTAAATGTAATCTATTACCCAAAGTAAAAATACTCATTGTGAAGAGGACAAGTTAGAAGATTGACACTCAAGTCATGAATAGTTTCATGGTTGATTGATCTGTTGTGTTAAAATTATTTTAACTAACGTGTCAACTGTGAAAATCTTCAAATCATGGAAACTTGTTAATTACAGATTTCTTTGATTGATTCTCACAACAGCCTCTAATGAAATCTTCCAAAGTCACAAACTTAAATTTGTAAACTTCCCAATGTCAGTGCTTCTACACAGTCTGACTGCGTGTGCGTGTGTGTTTGCGTGCGTGCGTGCGCAGAGCTGACGGAGGTGCTGCGTGATAAGGAGCGTCGGGTGCAGCAGCAGCTGGATCGCAGTGCGGAGGAGCGAGGGAGGAAGATGGAGGTGCAGAGGAGGAAGGAGCAGCAGCGCAGAGCAGCAGCTGAGGAGAAGAGACGACAGAGACAAGAGGCAGAAAAGGTCAGAGGTCACGGCACGCTGATGATGCATTCACGTCCCATTAGAGGAGGTGGGAAAACAGAAAGATGAACCGCAGGCTCCATGAAATCCACAGTTTGTGCAGATTCACAGATCGAGGTTGAGTTGTTGATCAGTTTGTGACACAAACAGTTTTGCATCTTAACTCAGGTGCAACGTTTCACGTGGACACGTTTGTGGTGGATTCAGAAGCTGCATGCAAAAAGAAAATGTTGCTGTTAACACCGTCCCATATAAACAACCTACACATGTTCAAAATGCTGTGCTCCATAATTCCTCAGGAGCAAAGATAGATTTGAGTTCAGGACCTTTATGAATATTTAATGTTCTTAATCAGGAAATAAATAAAGACCATTTATTTACACACTAAACCATTTTGACTGAATCCATAAATCCATACATTCTGATTCTAGTTCAAGACGCTGAACTCTGGATGATCTCCTCTCATGTTCTGGAGGTTCTGTGACAACAAATGTCTGAGTCAGTGTCCCTGGATTGTGTGGAACCTTCCCAGTGAGGTTTCTAACACGTGACGGACGTGAAACTGGAAGAACACAAATATCTCTGAGATTTCAGAAGCAGAATTTACTCATCAGGTCCTGAAAATCTCCTGCTGCGTTCTTCATATGAGAAACGCTCCAGAAACTGTCTTGTGGACATTCTCCAGAGTTTACGTCTGACAAAAACATTTATTTCACAAGTTAAAGACTCTTATACTGCTGGAGCTGTTTTATGATTTAAATCAGGACGGAACTGAACAAGAAGAAACGTTCAATGTCAAATATTGTTAAAGACAAGTTCTCTCAATTAAGTCAATATAATTAACTGTATCATGGCGAATAAGTATTTAGATCTGTGTCTAGTAGAGGTCTGGTATATGATCCGATATGAATGTATTTGTCCAGTCAGCTGTCGACCACGTGATTTAACGACAACATGGAAATAAGAATGTTTTTATCAGTTATTTTTGTCCCATGATTCACACATGCGATGCTCAGATGAACAGTTCACCGCACTGTGAAAACATCATCTACTTGATTTGTGAATTTCCATGAAAGAATTTATTTATAAGTCATAATTTTTCCGTCATATTAACTTTGAGATCGAGTCGAGCTGAAGGTCAGTGTGATAACAGAGTCTTCTCAGGACAAACACACGTGTTCGTTCAACTGAAACGTGAAGGGTTTGGTTTGTTTGAGCAGGAACTCAGTCAGTTTAACATCCAGCATAAATTATTAGCTTGTTGAAATTCTCGGGGGGGGGGGGGTTGTCACTGTGTCTATTGATTTGCATGCTAACACCCCCCCCCCCACACACACACACACACTCATATGCATAACTTAATGATCGGTCAGTCTCGCGGGAGATGACATCACTGCTGTTTACTGGAACCGACGGTCGATGACAGGAGGAAACAACAGAATCAATGTGATCCAGGTTTTATAGAGAAAACACACAAGGTTTCATGAATCATTCAAACAGAAATCATGTTCATTTAGTCTTTTATTGTCACTTTATTCTGTCAAAGGTTATCGCTCATAAAACTACTGTAGCTACGAACAGTTTATTTTACAGTCATTAGTATTTTGATTAATCTCAGCTTCTCTTTCATCTCGTAAAAGATTATTCTTTACATCTCTGATCTTCCTCAGTCAATGAGTTGAATTAAAAAATGGTAGAAATAGATAAATAACATATTGCAGTTAGGAAACCTGTAGTTTAAAACTTCAAATTCTCACATTTGAGAAGATGTACAAAACAAAATCATTTTGCTTGATAAATGATTCAAACTGTAAATTCAATATAATAATATAATAATTATTATAGATGAATATTCTGTTGGCTTATTGTTGAATGTGTCGTAGCTGCCGGGTTATTACCTCAACGTTTTCACCGCTGTTCATCTGTTTGTGAGTAAGATTTCACAAAAACAACCCAACGTGAAACTTGGTGGAAGGAGTGGAGTGTTGGGCCAGAGAAGATTTTTCATTTCTCCAGAATAATTCACAGATCTTGATTAAAATAATATTCATACACAGATAATATTCTGGACTGATTTCTATGAGCGTGTTTACTTTGGTGAATTTTAGAGACTGTGGTGGAGAAATTAGCTGAACTGAGTGACAGTCTAGTTTTCATTATTAATTACTGGAGTACCTAATTCTTGTTCTGTCTATGAATATTTAATATTTTGACAAGGCACTGCAGATGTAAAAAAGATGTTATGACCATGACTAACTGCACACCCCCCCCTCATGATGTACTTTTATAAATACTTAATATTTAATATATATACAGCACTGCTATGTGTTGTCTTAATCTCCCTGTCTTTGTCCCCCCCTCTACCACTCCATCCCTCCCTCCATCCCTCCCTCCCTCCCTCTATATTTCTGCCTCCTCCCTCTCTCCCTTTAAATCCGTCGTCTCGGCTTCACCCCTCGTCTCTCCTCCCTCCTGCAGTCAGTGCGTGACTCTGCATGCACTTTCAGCAACACCCCCCTCAGCAATGCTGATGTGGGCCTTTCCATCCTTCATATATAGACAAACACTCTGGAGCAATGTATAAGCTTTATATTGTACCATCTCACACACACACACACACACACACACACACACACAGACGTGTCTCGTCCTGGACTGAATCTTTATTTAACAGAATATTGTTTGTTGTCATCAACACTCGTCAGTAGAGAGAATATTTTAATGAAGTGATGAAGAATTAAACAAACACTTCATGGACAAAGATCTTTATATAAGAAACACGTCGCTAAACTACAACGTCACATAAAATCTCCATAAATTCAACAAAGCTGCAAATTTCACACACGTGTAAATATCAGCTCCTGAAATGTGATTGTTCAAATCAAGATCTGTGAATTCTTCCCGGGGGAAAAAAATCTATCAATCTCACAATTAAAAAAAAAGAAAAGATAAATGATCGTCCAGAATTTCACGGGTTCTTCCCTGACCCACACTGTTTCACTGAAATCCATTTAGTTGTATCATGTTATCCTGTGACAACAAACCAACCAATAAAACTAATGGACGTGAAACACAACCCGATGATAAACCTAATAAATCTGAAAATTATCAAGGGATCAATCAAAAGAATTAGATTCAAATGAGACGGAGGACGGTGACTGAACTCATAAATCTCTATTTAATTTGATGCTACATTGAAATGATAGAAGAAGTGGGTCAATACAGAGATGGTACTTGATTTAGTACCAGGATGTTTTAAAATCATTAACATCCACTGAAACAAAGAGAAATAATAAAATACAAAGAATAATACTTTGGAATGTGGTGATCATAAATAAGAATGTGTTTCTGTGACATTAGAGCCTGTGAACAGTTTCAGTCCAAAAGGAATAGAGAGAGGAAGAGATGGAGAGAGAGAGGGAGAGGGAGGGAGGGAGGGAGGGTGGGGTGAACAATTGTGAGGTAGGAGAGAGAGAGAGAGAGAGAAGGAGTCAGTGGTACCTAGAGGGAGCGGCAGATGGAGAGAGAGAGAGAGGAGGAGAGAGAGCTGCTGTATTATGTATCACTGAGTGACAGAAGCAGGCGATCGAGCGCTGGTGACCGTCACCAGACGAGTGAGAGGATCACGGAGGGCGAGGCTGCTGCTGCTGCGCTTACATGCGGTAACCATGGCGCAGCCGTCTCCGAGCGCATCGCCTGGCTCCCGTCGCCGTAGCGATGGCTCAGTGAGAGAGTGTCTGTTCTTCCCTGTTTCTGAACGCAACGAGCAGGAGAGGCTGGAGGCCCTGGTCCGCCGGAGAGCTGGGGGAGCTGAGACGAGAGGAGAAGGAGGAGCAGGAGGAGGAGGAGGAGGAGGAGGGGATGCTCAGGACCACCTGGAGAACAGGCCCAAACGCTGGACGTGGGGAGGACCACCGGATGGAGTAGAGGGTGAGTACGATGGGAGGTGGTTGTATTGATGACATGGTGGAAAGAGAAGGATTGTGATGATGTCAGGTTGGTTTGAGATGTGCAGCGGGGGAGACGGGTGGATACTGATGATGAGGATGATGATGGGGGCTGGGAGTGGAGGAGAAGGGAGGAGAGGTGTTGGGTTCGGGGAGGAGGTCTGGAGGTCAGGGGGAAGAGGAGGAGGAGGAGGAGGAGGAGGGGGATGGGATGAAAGGGTGGAGACGGCTGGCGGAAAAAAGAGCAGGTGAAATGAGGATAGGGCGGCGAGGATGGAGAGATGGAGCAGAAGAGAAGAGGAGGATGGAAAAGGGTGGGGAGGCTGCAGCAGTGCAGGAGCTGCTCAGCGCTTTGTCTCTAGATCTCCTCAGTGTGTGAGGAGACGCTCGGTGTTTACAACGCTTCACTGTGTCATCGCCCGCTGGAGCTGTGCTCATCAGCTGCTGGTCATCTATTGTCTTGTAAATGTGCTACAGGTGTGTGTGTGTGTGTGTGTGTGTGTGTGTGTGTG